CACAAGCCATCTACAATAGGTTGGTTTCCAGGCTGAACTATTGTGATTCGTTAATCTCTGCATAGAAAGATAGATTTGCAATGAATTTTATTTTCATTAGGATGTAGAAATGGTGAATTCAATGAGTATTTACTTGAAAAAGTTTGTTTTCAAGTCAACATAATTATCAGGATGGAATAAATTGATCCACTGAAGACTTTTTCCACACGATTGCTAATATACTCAGATATTCCAACAAACTTCCAATTTGACTTTTGACTTGGCAGTGGAGACCACGGTTAATTGGTTCCAATTCATGCATTTCACGCATCGCATCGAACAGTCTTATTGCACTTAGATACACGTAACGTACACATATGATCATGGGACGTCAAAAAGAGGGTGGGGTTGTCCTGTAATTGAATCAACTTCTCTCACTGTTTCCTGTCGTACTACCGAAACTAAGCCAACCAATTATTCAAAGGTTTTCGCGGAGAACACTTCCAGCGACGAGTTCCTTTTCCTTCACTTTTTCATTACAAATGTGACAGTGAACCTATGCGCATTATTCCATACTTCACCCATCTCTATTCCTCCACTGCTCGTGAGTGCTTTTTCACAGTTGAAAGCGTTATAGAGAAGGTACATTATATACGTGATTGAACTAAACATATTATTAACTGTGGTTATCTTTCGAGGGATGAAACCTCTCAGATGATTGTATCCATTCCTTGGCAACGTGAAACGTGCTAACTGTGAACAAGATGGTCTGCGTACTCATGGCATAATTTTATCAAGAGGCACATCAAGGTAACTGAAGTATCATTCCTTTTTCTATAGTGATGATGAGGGAGGGATTGAAGAAGGGAAGGATAGACATATAGTTCTTGGACAGCTAAGAAGTAGCTCCTCCCACATTCACTGTATACAGTTTTTATCATGAGTAGTAACTGCTTTCTCAGTCTCGTGAACATATTTATTGCTATGCCGTTTTGCACGCTACTTCTCTTCTGAACTCCGACCAAGGTAGGTGTTAAATAGTACATCTTTAAATTTACTATGCAAATTCTCAAGTGGAGTAAAGCATTATACTCTTAATCAGGCTACTGGTTGCTGAGGCACCCTGCCTACTCATTCCTGCTTTGATACGTTCATACTGTGGTGCATTTAATATAATTGAAAATTTCGTCAATTTCCCTGCAACTGGAATCTTTAGTTTAAGAGCATTCAGTATGCACTCTCTGATATGGTATATAGCAAACACAATTACCCCTACAGTTTTTTGTCTAGTTTTGTAAGATCTAAAATAATTTTTATTCAGACAGTATTTATTGGACGAGTTATACTATTCGCTTGCGTTTGCACACTGAAAATCGTTGTGAAGCCAAAATCAACCGCTGGGATTCTGAATTTTTCTCCCACCCTATATCCTTTCACATTTTTCACCTCCAGTGAGGATTGACAAACCCGACAACCTGAGAATTTCGATCTATGAGGTTTTCGAAGTGGTTGAACATGAACAATTCTATTTTTCTTTACCAAACTATTTGTTGAAAACATGAGCGGATGCATATAATTGATGGAAATTTGTTGCACCAGTGAACGGGAACGCGACTTGCAGGGCTGTGGTCCATACAAAAAATGAATGAGTTATAAATTGTTTGCCCAGATTTCAAACGATTTGATTTATGAAACCTTTCTAAATAAGCCACTGCTTAAGGTTCGCATTTCCTATCATCCATCAAACTGCAACATATTTTTTGTACTATGTTCTCTGGAAGATGAAAATAGCGTGCTTTGGCTTGCACCAAATCGAGTATCATAGTTACCAGAAAGCAACGACAGACTTTGTTAAATCATTTGCTAAGTTTATTCTGATAAAGAACAAATTAACAGTGGACTGAAAATCTGAGAGCACTGTACAGATGTTTCGACCTGGTTGATTTTAATCGGCGAAACCAAACACCCGAATCTAGATGCAACTGGGGAACGCCCAGGTAGAGCGGAAGCATACTTCAACACCGGGTCAGACTGATCTTACCACATACTGTGCTATATATCAAATCAAGTATGGCGCGACAATTTGACCTCACCTAGGTTTGCGGTAACCTCCGACAATATGAATCAAATAGAAATGTTTCTAACCTCACGACTTGACAAAATTATTCTGTTGTTCTTCGTAAAACATTATGCGTACGAAACGCTACCAAGCTAAACACGCGTTTTCATTTGAATAATCAATCAGAAAACATGTTTTACCCAAACGTTTCTATTATCCTAGCAGAAAAAATAAGTACTCACTGTTGGCGAATGTTTACATGAAAATACGAGTAGAAAATAGTCATTCCTTTTTATTACCCCTGTCTGATGAACTGGTGACCCCACAAAGCGGTCACATTGGGTTTAGTTTTAATAGTAAATTTGGCCATGCCCATTTTTGGACAGACAGAGAGACCACAATATCTATTATTTACCTTGCGCACTATGATCCTAATGTACGCTGACCATCCTGAGCTGTTACATTTTAGTTAGTGTTCCGTTATTCACCGCGCCTGTTGATTTGATGGTAGTGACAAAAGCACACACACATTGTAGTATGCATGAAATACCCATGGAGATGGCTTGCAGGTGCATCATTTTGAAACCTAATTCATTATTGTTCTTTAGAACGTGACATAAAAGATCTGAAACAATGACACGTGACCTGTGTGTGCTTCAAACGAGGCGGAATTATTTTACATTGTTTCCAATAATAGTCGAATGAAACTCTAATGCATTTTGCATTCACACCTGAATCGGTTGTTGTACCAGCGAACCATAATTATGCCTACTTTTCGTCCGTATACACGGATACGTGTGGAGTGATTGAACAGCGTTTGTCTACATGCGCACAGCGGATCTGATGGGCCAGGCATGAACTATGTCTGGTTGATAAGCTTCATTCACCTGTCTCATCTAAGGGGACAGTAACACTACTGATAGCGAAACGTGGGCTGTTGGCAATGGTTGAAAAGATTACTAGCTATGTTGTGATTATCGTTGTCTATCCCTCTCAGCAGTTTATCTGTAGCCTATGTCTCGTCAAGTAAAACACTACTTGTGTGTTCCAATGATAGCAGAAGATCGTGAAGTGTACCGATTGATGGACAATCGTCAATCATCAATACTGTTCTGTCATTGTTGACTTTGAGGTTACCGATTTGATTCACTGCTAGCAGTGCAATCAACAGTTCGCATTCATCATCATGCACTAAACCAGTCAGAACAAGCATTATCTGTGAGTAATATCGAACTAAGGAATATGTTTGATTTCTGCGAGTCCAAACGGCTTAACCTTTTACTTTATAATAAAGAGGTGACCGAATGAAGCCGATGTCCACAAACCAGAATTGGATGCATGTGCTGCTTTCTGTAGAATAATGGAACAGAAATTCAACTATTTTCTATGGGGCTCCAAATGTGCTTCACTCTCATCTTGTCTGTCTCGTCTGTACGTTATCTCTCTGTCTCACTCTATTAGCGTTTCATGGCAATGACAGTATTGCTCACGTAAACAAACGACGAGAAGAGTGAAATGCGATGGTCCCGGGTGAATCATTCATTAGTAAATGGGTGCAAGATAAATTTTCGCTTTGCCACAGATGGCGTTTTCTGTACCGAGCTAATGAGCCTCTGTGCAATGAAGCACCACATCGAAAGACGAGCAAATTGGATTTAGTCACCATCATCGTGAGCAGTCTTTCATAAACGATGCAATTCCAATGAATCACACCGTCACGAGCATTCAATACTGTCCGAGAGCAGTGGCCAACTTAGCCATTAAAATGTTAACTGAGTTAACTGAGTATTCGTAATTAGTGTGCGCTCTAGCAGCGTGTACTATGGAAAACGATGTACGGCTGAGTTACGAAGCTTCGGTTTTACTCTGGCTTAAACAAGGGATGCATCATTTTGCTATCTTGTTAAAGCAACCTGCGAAAGCTCAAGGAAACGAACACAGATTTAGTACCACGACAGTAGTAAAACCACAAATGAAATTTCTCACACTGTACGTTTTTCTGTTAGCGAGTCATCAAGCAATCGAGTGATGTGTCACTTTTTGTTTTGGTATCACTATAACCATAAAGTCACGAACCACGAAAGCAATCTGCTGATAGATTCATTTTTAGGTGCGGTTCTATATGGGGCTTCCTAACTGTATTCATAACGATTCGGTATAGAACAATAGCTACAATACACTAGATGACCTCTTGGAAATTCGTTACCACTTTAATTTACATTAGCATTGCGAAGCGTAAACGCAATTCTTCGGCCAATCATCGGATTTATATAAAAAAGTAAATCATAAACGACAACATTTATTATTGACTTGCAAGATGAATTTTCTTGGGATCAGTTCTGAGTTGTCCATCCTTGAGGCGTTCCGAATTCCTTATCCATTCTCGAAAAAACCGCTGTATTTTGAGCACAATCTAAGCACTATAATCTACTTTTATTATAAAACTTAGACAATATATGATCTCCAGGCTCTTTGCATCCTTACAAATTTTGAAATCCAGAATTTAACAATACTTCACGTCTTATGATTGCTGACGTGCACTATTTCTGCCGATTTTTGATTGCAGAAGGTGGAAAACCAATGACCCGGATGATTTAAATACCGTGGGTTTTCGTAATCGTGTTGTTGACTCCGATTATGAGGATAATGATGATAGTGATGAAATAATCAATTGATATTCCTATTTCCTAACCATATTTTGATAGATAAAATCTTCAGTGCTCAATATAGATCCTTTCTTCCGCTTTCTGAAAAGATTGGCAAGCGTAGAGTGCCATTTTCTTTTGATTTATTCTATAGAAATTTTTTTAACTTTTTTATTTGTGTAATTTCAGTTAACTTGAATAGTCACGGGATTGACGAGGCATGTCTGTGGGCAGTGTGAACCTGGATGTGGATCAGCTGTCTCCAAACGAAACTCCTCAATGCAAACTAAATCACTTCACTACTTTGGGACGCATATTTGTGGCGGAAGTTGTGGGAATAGCCGTGCTATGCTTCACTGCAACTATTTATCCGCTTTCATCCACTCCGGCCGTTGCACCATCAATTGTGGTCTCATTGACATTTGTGTGGATTCTCTGGGTCTTTGGACCAATCAGTGGAGCTCAAATAAATCCATCTGTAACGGTCATGTTATTTTTCACCAGGCGTTTATCTATCATACATACGATCACATATCTGGCTGCACAATTCCTCGGAGCTCCTCTGGGCTCATGGATTGCCATGTTATTGATACCGGATAGTTTGAAAACCGGTGTGACTTTTGGTATGACTAAACGTGCCTTGGGTTTGACTACTGGACAGGCAATCGGGTTGGAAATGATTGCGACTGCGATGCTTACGATGGCTGTCATGTCTCTTTGTGATGAGTTCCGAGATGATCAATGGACTCATTCCCATGTCACATTATTCCCACTGAATTTTGCCGCAATCATGGGTTTATTTGCCACTGTTATGGTGAGTTGTTTTTGTCATGATTATATTAAACTGGTATGCTGAGGGGAAGTTTCCCATGTGGACCGATCTTCAACTCGTCATGCAGCAGCATATCACTCACACATTTTCTCCTAAAATATCAATAACCGCGTATCATTTGGACTTACAACCACATATTTGGAAACCTAAACTCCAAAATTCACAATACACATCTGGAGTCTGGAGGAGAAAACAAAAGGCGTAAACGGTGGGGAAATTTTGTATTGGTTTTCATCTATGATTATTAAAAACATAAATAGATCTCATCAATATACAAAGAAGACAAAAGTCACAAGATGGTCACATTTCATTTAATCTTCCTAATCGCTGACTTAAAGCAAACAGACATATACAGATAGCATATGGGGTTGTTCAAGTATGATTACAGGCATACAAAGATCACTGGACTTAGAAGTAGAAGGTCAAATTCTAGGTACGTTGATTGATTGTATCAAAAACGTTTGTGCGCATAAGGTTGGGTGAGGCAATCAACGACTGAGAAGAATAAAAGAAATGTTAACATCTCGCGACACTTTTCTTTAAGCATTTATGAAACGGACAAAGGAAACCCACTGCTCTGATTACATCTGTAAGAATGGTAGGTATATCTGGCTCTTTGATTAGTGTTGTCAGGAGTTGCAGATATGCAAGGACGGACCGGGTTACAGGTCACCATTGTAAGCCTAAGTATTCACCTTACCTTTGAAGTATCCAACGCGTTAGTATTGAGAATGATGGAGTAGTTAATAAAAAAACCATCCATCTTTTGTATGTAGGTCTATCTATTGGATATGTCTAACATCGAGTGTGATCTGGGTTGCAGTTTTTGCGGCTGTAGCGAGGAACTTCTTGAGGAATCTAGCTGGGTTCATCGGAGGTGCTAGGACATAATTATTGCTGCCCTGAATATAACTGCGTCTTAGGGTACAGTTACAAAGGCCCTGTCCTCGAAGAAATCTCGTCCCGACGACGTGAGTGAACTATTCCCTAACACCATCTGCATTAATTGTGGAATAGAAAAGAAAGCAGAGTTGTGACTTCACATTGAATTGCACCAGTAGTTTAACGGTCACCGTATCGTGATATTGTGTGGTCTACCAAATGAGGTCACCTCGTGGTCTTCATGGACTTTCAAACCAACTTTTGACACCTTGTTTCCAAAGATGTTAATCACTGGTTAAATCAATGAACAACTACTTTTTCCAATTACCGTCACAACCCATGCTCATCTTGATTTGTCCTTTCATCTGATAAATATCTACAAAATGATCCTTCAATGCGGTTGCAAAAACAGCCTAATCGACTTTTTCGGATCCAAAAAATAAAAATCAACAACCTGTGAAATAATTAACGGATAAAACTACACTGCTACTCTCAATTATTTACTCATTTCGAAGGAGTAAGTTATGTTTTAAGTAGTTTTTATCTTTAACCCAGCGGCACTTTACTATATTTGCCAGGTAAGATGAAACTGTGGAAGATGCCTGTTCCCCATTCAGTGACACTTGACTTGAATGCAATATAGGCATAAACCCTCTGATGTGGACTTTGAATCTAATGAGTGTTGTTTGGTGATATGTTAGCAGGCACGTACCCAAGAACAACCTTATCATCCGTTATATGAACTGGAAAAATGAACTGAACTTTAACACACCCTTGATCAAAGACTGAACTTCAAGATTTTCCACTGTAATTTCCAGTGTATTTAACGTCATCTGTCTGGAAACAGCATATGATTTCCGGGTCAGTGCGAGTCAGAGCGAACCAGGACGTGCAGGAGTCCTGCGAAATCTGACATTTCCGTCACCTACGTGCTGTTTCATTCGACCCGACAAATCTGCTTATCAGAACCATCTGTTGGAACCTACGTGCTTGTCTTGCTTTCTAGGGAGTCACCACGGTCACTAGCCACGAAAACCATGATCCAAACACGCACATCAAAGCAAACTTAGCACTGTATTTTTCGATAAACAAATCACATTGGTTTGCAAACACCGGTGGGTGGAGGTTTCACACATAGACATATTTTGGAATCAGACATTCAGGCATTTGTATCGAATGCTTCCAGTGGGTAGGGTTCATCTGGCTGTGTATGAGAAATACCTTGTTGAATAAACTATGAGACCACAACGGTTCCAGGCTTAAGCATCAATAAATCGAAGTGTGAAAAGAAACATTAATCTCTGTTTATCTTAGTGTAGGCGCAAGGTAAATTTTACTGTATTGATAAACCTTCGCTCTACTAGGCTTTTTGGCCTATAACTCCAGGATTATGTCGGAGCAAAAGACACCTGTATTCCACTATGAATTCAACTGAATTACTATTTGTCTACTGATAATAAAGGACAGCAAATCATCGAGAGACTGGGCATTAGATGGCTTCTGAACAAATATTTTAGTTTCAATTCTACTTTTGTATTCCGCGATATGAAGACACAGATGTTGTTAAGTTAAGAAGAAGTCACCGTGTACCAGAGAACCAAACATCCAGTGCAGCGAGTGAAATTACAAAAATCGTATTATTTGTTTAAACAATCGTAGTTTTTTATTATGATCGATTGCGCTCACTTTAAGAAACTCTGGGACTATCAGATTTAGGAACCATCCGTATACTTGTGTCTCATACGAGGTGATTGACGAGTACGTATTCAGCATACGTTTTACATCGAAAAAATATAAAGTTGACATTTAAAGTCAACTGAGGTACGGAAGGATGAATTTGGAATTCTGACTAATGGATGAGCCAGCCAGTCCAGTACAAAGCTGGAGTGGGATCAGAAAGCAACGATTTCTGTCGACAGAACGCAAGATTAAACCTNAAACCTCATGATAGCAAACGCTTCATTGATGTGTATCATCCTTGTTGGTTTTCAGAAAGTAATAATAAAGAATGCAAGTGGTATATCATTTCCGTTTCGTGTTTTCTCATACCCTTTTGGAAGTAAGAAGTTCTCGATCGCTCAGTTGCCTCTTCTGTCGACATCCTAGACTGCTGGTAAAACTGTGTTTATTGGTTAAGGTATGGAAACACAATAACACGGGGTTTTCACGGTTATTCTAGGATAGTTGCTACAGTCTCTCTGTTAAAAACGTTTCGCTGGAAAAAATGAAACCACTATCCAAAGGTAACTGAGAAACTATCATCTTTGCTTCGCACTTAAATGAGCAACCGGATGTTATTGGCTTCTCTATGGAAAAACAAACGGAATGGGTTTCATTAGACTAGGTCGGAATTTCATATAGCGCATCTACATAAAGTCCAGATGAATTATTGCCAGTACTTAAATAGATCACGTATAACACTTCCATGACAATGCCTACTTCGTTGTGAATTGCATGAACCCAGAGGATTGATGAACTTGTAGACTATCCAAAACGTTGCCTACCCATTCTACAACAAGTCGCATGAATGTTGTAGAAGGCTCAGCAACCACGTTATTCCAAATTACTTGTTTTGTACTCACTAGACTTGTCCTACAGGCAGAAAACGCTAGAAAATTGCAAACATGCCCATGACTTCCGGAATAATTGTGCAATCATGAAATGGTAAACAAGAAGTTTTGTACTCGCACAAACTCCGCTGTGACGGTTTTTACTAATGAACATAATTCAATCACACGTTCCCCTGGTTTCAGTAGACTGGCATGCAATCTTTTATGGTTCACTTCGGAGCTCAATGGGTAGTGGAGGTTATTGATTGCAGAGCTCGCCAAATGCAGTAAATCAAATGAACTTTAACTGTTTATGTTTATATTTTCCTCTGAATATTTTTTATTATTACGGTCTCTTGTCAACTCGGGTTTTCTATCAGTTGCATTTATACTGCGGAGGAGGTATCGTTTGATCTAAGGTGCTGAATTAAATCCTTTTAATCCTTTTACATCTCCAAACAGCTTCCATCCGTTCAGAGGTTTTCTAAATGAGTTCAAAATGGACATAATGATGCATTTGTTTAGGGTCTCGTCGTTTCGTGCGGATGCTATTTCACTCAGAGCCGGTTAACACAATGACAATTAAAGTCACCGCCTTTGACTTGTATTGATTCAGCTTTTAAGAATGGACGAAACAGTGGGCCTGTTTCTAGAACACCAGATTTCATCAGCAGCGTGCGAATCTGCCAAACCGACGGAGGGCGAAAACCGGAACCTCACAGGTAGAATGCACGCATACTATCCACTTTACTAGCTGGAAGCTTTTCCATTTTGCATACACACGCTGTACCACAACCCACCTTTGAAAGTTTAATGCAGGTATCACAGGTGTATCTCAGAACTACGATTCACACGGTGGATGAGCTCCAACCAGGTCGAAATAGTTGCCCGACGCTTCTAAGCTTTGCATTTCACATCTTAGGGACTCGATACATAAAATAGGTAAAACAAAACATCCACTACGACCGTACATTTAAAGTGTTTCAAAGAATGCCAGCAATAGATGATTCACTTTTCGTATTATCCGTTTCGCTTCGCAAGTCAATTTCCCAGTAGGCTCCTTCCCATGATTGAAAAGTTGTTCATATTTTTTCAAGCTGGTTTTTGCAATATAGCATAATTTCTCTTTTCTCTTTGTTTACCAAATTCAATTTTAAATTTTTATTACAGGAAAAAACTTACAAAGACTTTGCTTATCAAATCCCATGGGGTGTTCACACTTTGGGTTCGGAACACGATTCACAAGATCACAGTTAGTCCATGAAAGTAGAATAGTAATGTAATGTTTGTGACGAGCACAGGTGAATACATTATGTAAATGGGTGTTGACACATAATGTTTGCCAGAGCATCATCAAGCTGACGCTTGAAAGATACCAATGTTGGCGCACAGACCACGTGAGGTGGTACAGAGTTCCAGGTGCTGCACACTCTAACTGCAAACGAATAGCATCAGCATTCGAGACGACTCTTTTGGAGTGCCAACTTTAGTGGATGCCCTCTGAGATGAGCATTGCTTGACAGAACCAAAAGAGGTCTGCATGGATGGTTGAATTGTGGGAAAATCCGATACAATAAGATCATACCGCCTCTG